GCACTCTTTTGAATCCACTCATCTTTAAGCTTACATTTATGTATCAAAAATGGGAATATATAAACTTAGAGAAAATGTATAAATTTTAAAATTATAGGAGTATATTTATAAATATATTTATAAATATATATCTCCATACAAATATATTGAAAATAAATATTATTATCAATTATCAATTTGCAATTCAAACTGCATGTTTTTAATTTTTTAGAAATTGCAAAATGACTCATAATGTGCTCGAGGGGTGTCTTACATGAAACGTGTCCGAAACACAGATACATTAAGACGTTAAAGTTCTCGTGCTACATAGGCTACCATACATATATGTTTCATACAAATTCAAAATCGTATTCGCCCGGAAGGATTCGTAATTTTAAACGCTTTTTCAAAGTGAATACGAGTTTTTTTTGTTTCAAAATCAGTTTTTTTCAAACATTAGATAGCTGCAGTTAACTCTATAAAATCCACCACAATAGTAACTCAAAAATTTATTCAAATGAATTCAATAGTTTATTTATTAATGAATTTGAAATATTCTCAACTCAAACTCCTTATTTTTCATCACATCCAATACAAATGGCAACAAGAAACTAACACTAGTTCTAGTTGTTATCAATCTTCACAAAATAATAAAATAAAATAAAAATCAAGAAATAACGACATTAATTTAATATATATTGATCCTCATAATTTAATTTGGCCTAGTGCAATCAATTCTGATTTCACCCTGGTTACCAGTGAGCACCCCAACTCTACCAAGCTTAGTCATGGCCAGGCCAAATGCTCTGCCAAAAGCGGCATTGTTCGATGCAAATTGATTAACGGTGGCTCTCGATCGAGTATCGGTGAAGAGGACTTGATCGGAGGTGAATAGCCCTCTTCCTCCTTGTAGGTTACGGAAGTAGGCGTTGTCGAATGTGTTTGCGGATGTGGGGTCCATGTTGATCGCGATTCTAGGGTCAACATTGATCGGGCACATTTGCCGAAGCTGGGTTGCATATTGCGGGTTCAGTGACGGGTCAACCCGTCTCGATGGGCTGAAGTTGTAGATACGGTTGGAGAAACGGTTGCAGTGGGAGAATCCGATCGTGTGTGCACCTTTATAGTAATTAACACCAAAGTACGAGAGATATATTATAGGGTAAATTACAAAAAAAAAATCGTGGATATGGTGGAAATTGGACAAATAGAATCGAAATAAGCAATTTCGAAAAAAAATTAAAGTGAAATTAATTTAAATTCCATTCCATAAAAAAAAATCGGAAATCACAATTTTGTAAAATTGGAGTGAAAAAAATGTTTATTCCAAAATTAGAGATTATATTTTCGAACCGGCATTGGCAGAAATGGAAATTCAAAGTTTTTAATTACCTAAATATAAAAATTTATATTATAACTATAATTTTTGGAGAAAAATGGGGGTTTAGAAATTAACTTCGAAAATTAAAATCTAATAAAAATAATTGATATCTCATATATAATTCAATTCAGATCTATTAAAAAAAAAAAGGAAAAGGAAAAATCAAGAATTAGAATTTTCAAAATTGGGAATGATAGAATTGTACTAAAATTAAAAAAACTTTGGATCTAATCGACTGGGAAAATCGAAAATTACGTTCCAATTTCCACCCCTAATCCTGGGGTCCATCGCATGTGATGAGCACATGTAAAGTATATCTCAAAGAAAAAAGGTATTTGTAAAGGGGAATGAATGCAATGATCACTATCGTGCCAACATTAGTCCAAAATAATTATATCATTTAATTCTCCATGATTTTTAATTAGGGTAAGGTATTAGCTAGCTAGGTATCATAGTACATCAAATTAGTTTTCTAATTTTAATTTAGACACAGTGACATACATATACATTTGAATGTATAAAATTCATCGGATGTAGCATGGAATAATCCATGTAATAAAATGAACTGTAACTGTAAGAGAATAAATATGTACCTATACTAGACAACATACATACATACAAACACAAGGACAAAGAATATATATATATATGAGTTGTGTGAGGTGATTAATAATATATAATTAATACCTGATAATGCAATTAAATCAGTTTGGTCTAGGCCATGACTTGCAAACATGGTATTGAGTTGGTTCAAGCTAAATCCCGGTCCCGGAAGACGGCCTTGTACGCTTGCACTAGTCGATATTCTCCCGTCTCTTCTTCCCAATTCCACCGGGTACGACGCCCCTCCAGCCTGCACAAATTACATTATTATTATTATTATTATTATTATTATTATTAATCTTGAATTCATATGTGTGTGTGTGTGTGTGTGTGTACGTACCAAGACGACAACATCTCTTGTGGCTAATGCTAATATATCAGCACACGAAACTTTGTTTCTGCATTGGGAATTTCGGTCAACGGCAGCTTTTGCCTTAATAACCGTGTCGAAACCGTCTCCTGCTAGAGATAGGTTATCTGGATGGTCCTTCTCCGCGTTTCCGTTCGGCGATGCTATCATAATCGATGCGTCACATCCCTATATGTATATATGATCATATTGATCAAGAATCATGAAAAGTTGAACAATTTATTATTTTTGTATATATATATATATATATATATATAAAGAAGGAAGAAAAGGTATACCCGAACGAAGCAGTCGTGGAAGAAGAGGCGGAGGGTGGCCGGAGCGGTGACAAAAGTCTGGCGGAATTTGGTTTGAACCGCGGCACGAACGAGGGCCTCAACATTAGGGCATGTTGCGCTGTAGAAATTAGTTCTAAGTTGAGCATTGGCTGTGTTACTAATCACAAGGATAATAACTAGGGGCAAAATGGTCATGGAAATTATTGTTTTTTGATTCATCATTTCTTTTTTGTAGAAGTAGTGTATGTTGTTTCACATGCAAGCAAAGATTGTTAGTGTTTTGGTGTTGTGGTGGTGGAGCTACGCCTCTTTATATACAAGTCTTTGTTTCACTAAGTCAATCTCTCTCTCTCTCTCTCTCTCTCTCTCTCTCTCTCTCTCTCTCTCTCTCTCTCTCTAGATAAGATATATATGTGTAGTTGTACTAATTGGTTTTGACAGATTGTAAGAAGAACGTGTGGTGCATTTTGTGGTAAGCACATGGAAGTCTTGCATGGAACAATATTAACAGATATATAGATCTATTATATTAAGAAAAAAAAGTCAAGATAAATTATAAAAACTAAGAACTGATTATTGCAAGCTAAGTACAAGGGCATAAACAGAAGCAAAGTCAAATTTTAATGTTTAAATACTACAATATTGATGTAGTGATATTTCTTTTATGAGGATCTTTTATGATGTAGTGATATTTCTTTTAATTGGAGAATTTTGTATTTTATAGGTGCAAATTGTAAAATGAGAATTAGATATCCATGAGGGAAAATATCAAAAAAATTGCAAATAAAGAAATAAAATCAAATTTGGAGGAAGGAATCAACATCTTTGGCATTGCCAACGATTTCTATTATATTTCTTTCATTTGGACTCTAAATAACTTGATTCCATCGGCATTGGAAATATATTTGAAAGAGCTACAAATTTGTCATTATTCGGACCCTAACATAGTCAAAATTGAATAACATATTCTAATGGGAAAAATATTTGGAAATGTACGGGGATGTTTGGTTATGTTTTCAATGGGAATTTCTAGTTTTCAAAATTTCTGATGGAAAAAATAGTTTATTGGTTTTTGTGTAGAAAATGAGAATATGTTTGGATGAAGTGGTATTTTTAGTTTTATGTAGGTGTAGAAAGTGGGAATATGTTTGGATGAAGTGGTATTTTTAGTTTTATGTATGTGTAGAAATGAGAATATGTTTGGTTGTGGTGAATTTTCTCTACGAAAGTACGTGCAAAAGTAGAATGTAATGATTGAGGATGATGATAGTGATTATTATTATTATTATTATTATTATTATTGTTGTTGTTGTTGTTGTTAGAAGAAGAAGAAGAAGAAGAAGAAGAAGAAGAAGAAGAAGAAGAAGAAGAAGAAGAAGAAGAAGAAGAAGAAGAAGAAGAAGAAGAAAGAGAAATTGGGAGGAGAGAGAGTGTAGATATTAATGAGGAGAGATAAATGAGATGAGAGAGAGTGTAAATATTAATGAGGAGTGATGAATAGAAGTAGAGAGAAATGAGTTGGTGGAATAAAATATATATGTTAGTTAGTAGGTTTTAGTAGGTTTGAAAATTGAAAAAAATATGAATAGTGTATTTCCAATAGAAATTTGAGAAGAAAAAATGAGATTTTCAGGATAAAATTATCAAACAAACATGATCTCAGTTTTATGAATAGTATAAAAATGGAAATTTGTTTTGGAAATAGAAACAAACATCCCCGTAGGTTTCTGCTACTTCCTTAATAAAAAAGGGTCTATAAAAGCAATAAGTTTTTACACCATAAGTTAGAAATTTTGAATTGATGAATTAGAAGAGGCGCTATCTAGGGATGAACCAATTTTCTTGATATTATGCAACTATAACTGTATGATTATTTTTTCTACTTGTTATGATTGTTAGTGCATAAACCTGATCAATTTATGTGATTTTATCTGTGATTATTAAAATTAATTCGAAATAGCTATTTTAATAATAAAACGTTAAGTAGAAGAACATCTGAGTCATTTTCACCGTATAAGTGTGTTAATTGAATTGTATGAATATGGATATCATCTTAGGTAACCAAAATTAAGATTTGTGTTTAATGTTTATTTTTTAATTGAATTGCGTAGGAATACAACAATTTGATTTTGAATATTAGAATTACACTTCACGGGAAAACGGATTATAATTAATCTAGAATCTCAGGTTAATAATCAGAATTATTTACATGCATAATTGAGAATTTTAGGTGATTAATAAACACATAAGGGGAAGATAAAATCATAAACTAGTTTTTTATTTGATAAAACCTTCGTGCTTAATTGATTTTCCTAATTATTTTTCACTTTTTCATTTTAGTTGTTTAGAATTAGATATAATCAACCATGCAAATTTGATTTGGCTGGATAGGATCAGTACTTAGGATTAGTCAGTTATATATTTCCTATGGGTGCAACATCTGATTTTTTTAAGCTCACTTTACTACTTGTTATGGTACGTACACTTTCAGATAAGTTTTCGAACAACAATTACCATTCAAAATTTTCTTTAATGGAGTTTGTTGTACATCAATAATAAATTCCTTATATATATATATATATATATATATATATATATATATATATATATATATATATATATATATATATAATAAAATAAATAAATTTCTTGGAGGGGCTGTTGGTGGATAACTTACATGCTGAAATAATTTATGGTCCCGAATTCGTTTAATACAGAGATGTTATCTGAAGTGTTATGACACTTGAGAAAACATGCAGCGGAAATATAAAGATAAAAGAACAATACTCATAATTAAAAATGTTCACAAGTAAAGATTGGTGAACTTGCCCTTTACAGGACGAAAAAATATATTAAAATCAGTATTCCAAGAATACAAACAGAAGAGGTGCGAAAACTTCTTCCTTATGAATGAATCATTCTCATGATCATTCTTACATTCAAATCTAGATACAAAAAGAAAAATATTAAAAATTCTAGATTTCAAAGATGTACTCGTGAGGAGTACGTAAAGAACTTATGAATGAATCACTATCTTGATCATTCTTACAACCAAGTCTAGAAACATATATACTATACAATCTAGACTACAAAGAATGTACTTATGAGAAGTACGTAAAGAATGTACTCATAAGGAGTACGTAAAGATTGTACTCATGAGGAGTACAAACGACCGATTCTAAAACCACTCTAAAACACTCATGTATTCTTTTCAGCTCTCGGTTTTTTATTTCGTAGAATCGATAAAAATCATTGAGTATTGAAATCGGTATTTATAGACATTTCAAGCTTCCACTCCTCAGCCCATGATCTGCAAGAAAACCAACCACAAGAGCACTCAAGAAAATGGGTTAGTGGGTTAGTTAGGAAGTTAGAATAAAATCCACAATTAAATCCACTAAGCACTACTTAGCCCACTAAGCACTATACTTAACCCACTAAGCACTACTTATTCCATAACTAAAATTTAGTTTAAAAAATAAGAAAGTTAAAAACACAATGTGGAAATAATCCACGTGTTTCAAACTCCCCATTTTTAACTTTCTGATCAAAACTAAATTTTAGCTTAACTCCCCCTGAGTCATTGCTTGAACTCCCCCTGAATTTGACAACCAATATTAACATAAACGTTCAGAGGAAAAAAAACAGAACAAAGTCAACAATGTTCATAAAAATGATTAAAGTAGAATATCCAAAGTCTCCTCAGTATCAGTTGCTGCTCCTCCATCATCAGCACTGGATCCACTGCTTTCCTCTGCTCCTTGAGCTTCTCCTTCATTCTTTGCTCCTTCTTCACTGACTCCTTGCTCTCTGTCTCTGGCATCCAAAGGATGAGAAGTCCCTCCTTCAACTTCATGACTAACTTTTTCTCCCCCTTTTTGATCAGAAAGAGCTCTTCGGAGCATTTCCACCATGGACTGGTGATAGGTAATCTGAGCTAGAGAGTGAGTAAGCAGTTGTAACAAGAGATCTCTAGGAACAGAAACAAGATTGTCAGGGGTGTTGTCAACATGATGAGCAACACCTTCAGTACCAAGATTATTTTGACCTGATTCAGTTGAGAGAAAATTATCTCCATTCCATGGAAGATCTTGGACATGAGTAGCCTTGAGAAAATTTTGAGAAACAGTTATCATGCTAAGTGGAGTGTGAAGATATTATGATTCATCTTGGCCCAAATTTTGAGAAAACAGAATGGAGTAGATGAGAGAAGGATACGAAAGATGAGTGGAGGATGAAATTTTCTGGGCAAGATGACCTAAATTATTAAAGAAAAGTTTGCCAACATCAACTTGTAATCCCATCCCCAATTTGTACATGAGTACTGCATGAGGTTTAGTAACCACAGAGACATTTTTGGATGGAATCCAATTCATCACTGTGAGTCTGAACAAGACAAAATAAAATGCAGTGAGTTGAGAAACTTTGAATTTTCTGGGGTGAGCAGGCCAACATTTTAAACGATTGCCAGAAAGAGTCTTACAAACCTCAGAAAAATCACCATAATTATCCTCATCAATCACAGTAGGAGTTTGTAAATGAGAGTTGATAATTTTGGGAGAAAAGGGAGAAAATGGAATTTCACACAAAAACTTTGCCAAAGTTTGGAGAATTTTTCTTTAAAAAAGAGGTTTGTAACAGAAGGATCATAAGGACAGGCAATCTCAACTAGACTAAGGATTTTTCTTTGATCACGAAAATCAGTAATTCTATGTCTATTAAACTCATCCTTGGAAATTTTCTTCTCCTCAATGAATTGGCAATTCATGATTTGAGGACTCAAATTTGAATCAGATTCAAAATAAAAGGTTGTACTGAAAGCATTGTTTACCTCAAAAGCAGTTGACAGATCATTCCCATCCAATTTCAGCTCTTCTTCCTCAGAAGATTCCTCTTCTTCTGAGTCTTCAAGTTCATCTGGGATGTATGGTGGCTCAGGTGATGCAACACGTGGGGCAGCATTTTCCTGCATCTGAGAGAATTCCTCAGACGAGTCACTGTCTGACTCTGAGGGTGGCAATTTTTTGCGAAATGAGACAAGGAGAACTTCCCAGCTATCATCACTTTTCTCTTCTTCTTCAGCCTGGGAAGGTGATGCATCCACTTGAACAGCTGCCTCTGCCAGAGTTTCCAGTGGATCTTCATGTGGAGCAGAGGGTGTTTCTTCAGTGGTGGTGAAATCCTGGGCATCAACAGTGGGAATGTTGTTGGGTTTCGGGCACGCATACGCAGC